AAAAAAAAAACCAATCTTCAAGCTCTCGTGCGCTTTTCATTTTTGCCTTCTTCTCGATCTGAACAGCTGGTCTGTCCGTTCGCCTTTTATCTCTCGCCTTTTCTCTTTTGCAAAACATCACTTTTTGTCTGTTCGCCTGCTCTCGCATCGTCACCTCGCCCGCACACCTCGCCCAGCACCGCATTGCGGACCTCACATTGCCCTTTTCAAGCTCCATCTCCTCGTCACAAAAATGCATTTCAAGCAGGCCCTCGTTGCTGCTTCCGCGGCCGCTTTGGCAGCCAGTGCTGCCGTCTCTGCCGCTCCAGTGCCCTCAAACGATGTTGTAGGACTGTCAGACCTGAAGGAATATCCAACGTTGGAGGCGCGCGTTGGCAAGACTCGGCCTACCTTTACGCCAGCAGGCGGCGCTGTTCCCACCACGCACGACCCGAACAACTTCAAGTTTGACGGCAAGAAGGGCAAAGATGCAAAGGCTGCCGTGAGTCCATTTGTCGGCTTCGATCGAGTTTTGACGTCGTTGCCAGCCAGCCATGCAGTCGCGAGTCGCGATGCTCAAGCATGCTGTCTCTTTTTCTGCAGGCCGATGACATTCAGCCCGCGCTGGACCAACATGTTGCTGACCACTATCCCAACGTGGCTTCCGCCCACGTGACCGACCGAGTGAGTTGGACGACGCTCAATTCACTGATTGAACTTAGTGTTGATTGGATGTTGAAGCGCTAGCACGAAGCTGATCCCTTTCTTCTTTGCTGCTTTTCCCTTTTCCTTTCCTTTTCTCCGTCTCTAGTTCCACACATCCCGCACCGACACCTCATACCATGCCACTGCTGAAATGAAAGACAAGGATGGAAACATTGTGCACGATACCAACCTGAACAACAGTCCGCCTTCCGAGGTGCACCACATCTACCCTTTGGACCACCAGCAGGCTCAAAAGGACGGCATCATCCCTCTGGGTCCCAACCAGACCGTACCGCCCAAGAGACGCGGCGTCGACTCTTATGACTGGCAAGTCTTGTACTACGCATGAGCAGCTCGCAATTAAAGAATCCTTCAAGGTACCGCATGGACTTGACTTGCATGTCAATCGAATACATAGCATACGTTCCGTTCCGCCTTTGCGCTGCGTTGGAGGGCGGCAGAGGATTTGTCCAGCGCGGATGGAAATGGCATCGCGAATCAGAATATATAGACACGAATGTTTAGTCACTCATCAGTCGTGAATCGTGAATCGTCTGCATGCAGCAGCAGCAGCTTTTTGGAAAGACTCACGTGACTCGCTCGCAGACTCGATCGTGACCACCAAGCACGCGCCGATGCTGCGTGATGACTGACTGACTGACTGCATTG